AAGACCAATGTTGAAGGCATCACATCCCTGATTTCGAGTTACACTACAGAGCTATAGCAATGTAAACGTGATACTGGCACCAAAACAGGCACCTAGATTAGTGGATTAGAATAGAAGATCCAGATATAAACCCATGGAGAAACAACCATCTGATTTTTCACAAAAATATACATTGGAGAAAAAACAGCCTCTTCAGCAAATGGTGTGGAGAAAACTAAATGTCCACATGGGGAAGAATGGAACTAGATTCCTCTCTCTCATCCTGTACAAAAATCAACTCCATGAATCCCTCTCTCTCACCCTGTACAAAAATCAACTCCAAGGGAATCAAAGACCTACATATGAGACCTGAAACTCTGAAACTGTGAGAGTGAAAAGTAAGAGAAACACTTCAAGATGCAGGCACAGGTAAGGACTGTAGGCAGGACTGAGCAGAAGTCCAGGTGATCAGAAAACCTGCTAACAATTGACAAATGAAAACCTTCCTGTCCAGCCAAAAAGAAAAAAAGTGAACTGAATGAAGAGGCAGCTTGCAGAATGGAGAAAACCTTTGCAAAGTATCCATCTGGTGGGAGGATTAATGTCAAGAATTACAGAATATACAAAAGACCCGAAAATAAGCAAACAATCAAACAATCCAATCAATAAAGAGGCTAATTAGATGAACAGATGCACAGTAAAGACAGATTCAGGGGAAAGAAAACTCAAACAGGTTACAGTGTGTTTAAAAATACACATAGGCTTGGGAGAGAGAAGAAAAAGAGTACATATACAATTTTAGCTTTTAAAATTTAGGGGGGGGGTTGGTGGTTTTTGTGAGACAGGGTTTCTCTGTAGCTTTGAAGCCTGTCCTGGAACTAGCTCTTGTACGCCAGGCTGGCCTCAAACACAAAGAGATCCACCTGTCTCTGCCTTCTGAGTGCTGGGATTAAAGACATGTGCCACCACCTCCCAGTTTAAAAAATTAGTTTTAAAATAATAAAGCAAAGTCCTTAAAAAGGAGTAAAATTATATAAAAGAAAAAAAAGCCACATAAAGATGGGAGCTACACAGAGTCTGGATATTGTGTGTTACTGTGTTGTCTTTGAATTTTTGACTGCTGAGGAAGGGGCAATAGCTACTAAAAGACATTTGATTATAAACGCTGCAGGATTAAACTAACCTATATATTTTTAAAATGTCTTGACTTCAAAGTAGAAATCAAAAAGATATATTACTTTGGGAAAGAGGTTCTGCTTTTATTTCCTTTTTTGGTTTTTCAAGAAAGGGTTTCTCTTTGTAACAGCCTTGGGTGCCCTGGAACTCACTCTTTAGACCAAGCTGGCTTCCAACTCACTGCTTTTATTTCCACAGAAAATAAAAGGCTATGGATTCGTTCAAAGTGAAAGATGATCAGGTTTGATCGAGGAAGACTCCCTGAAGTCCTGACTACAGACATAAAGAAATAGACCTAGAAGAACTACAAGACACATGATGTCTACTTTACCTGTTCAAACACATAAGGAAAAATCATCTTTGGCTGACTTGTGTACAATGCACAGTTTATATTTGCATTACTGCTGATATATATATATATGTTACATTTAAAAGTTTATGTATTTCCAAAGCAAGGGAACCAGATACCAGTGAATTCAGATGATGCCAGTGATCCAGCATCCAGAACAGTTTCAAGGTTGCTGGCTGAGATGGTAGAACCTCACAGACTATTTCAACCAAGACCTAATAACTACCTTGATTTTCTCAAGGTTCCCTCAAAGATTACCAGTGCTCCCAAACAATAAGAAGTAATCTAGAGAACAACACACAATCCCCAAAAGATAGGTTATAGATATTTATTATCATTTAAGAAGGGTTGGTTACAAGTTGTTATTGGTGATGATCAGGAAAAAAGCTGAACAAAGATTAGATTCAAGAATGTCTCTCTGAAAAAGAAAAAAGAGGGATATAATATAGAAATAATGAGATTAAAAGGTAGATTATCGAATCTATTTTAATCCAAAAATAACTATTAATTTCAAAATATTTTACATTGGTATGAATTTTGATTTATTAATACAAATTTCAAGTTAATTTTGGTATACTGTATGTTTCTACTCTTGTTTAGAGTATTATAATAATGCAGCTCATCTAACAATGTAATATATAATTAGGAAATACAGATTAATTGACATCTACAATAGTCAAACTTATAGTGATGTTAGGTATGTTTTCAAAGTCATACACAGATGTATTGAGATAGATAGATGGTCTTCAAACATGTCAAATACCTACAGAATATAACATTTAATATGTTTAATAACTTAAGACTTTTCATGCAGTGAGACTCATGTGCTCTTGGCAGCATCAATCTACTTCAGAGAAGACGGTGGGCAATGAAGAAAATCCATATGGAGTTTGCATTCTTTATGGAAAAAAGTTAGCCATTTTTGGCAAAGAAACTGTCCTTGCCTCAATTGCTAACAGTAAACTGTTCAAAATGGATGAACAGGACACAAAAGAAAGTGACTGCCAAACTTTGACAAGACAATGTAGGATAGTTCTTCAAAATTCACTGCTTCTCAGAAAACTTCGTCAGATATACTAGGCCTGTAAGCCAAAACTGAATGCCCCAACATTACAGAAGAACTTTGGAAGCAAGATGTCCCTGTCATTAAGTAACAATTCACCCTTCTGGGGTCTTTGATGGAGTTGAAGACTAGATAGTCATAGTTAAAGTTTTCCTTAGTTATGCTAAAAGGTAAATTAGATATAAAATTTTAGACTTACAAAGATAAAATAATATTTTCTCTAATTTTGCCAAATACAAATGAACTAGGCATTATAACTATAATTGTTATTTAATAACTGTTTTGTTATATATGGTTTTACTATGTTAAGGTTATAAACTTCCTTTTTAATTTGACAAATGGGGGAAATGTTGTGAAATAATCCTTTGTAAACTGTGAATATGTTTTACTCTGATTGGTTTAATAAAGAAGCTGACTGGCCAACAGCTGAACAGGATAAGGTTAGACAAGAGAGTCAAACTGAGAATTCTGGGAGGAAAACGGGTGGAGTCTGGAGTCACCAGCAGATGCAGAGAGAAACAAGAGGGGTGTGCCTTACTTAGAAAAGGTACCAAGCCACGTAGCAAAGCACAGATAAAAACATGGGTTAACTGAAAATGTAAGAGTTAGCTAGTAACAATCCTGAGCTATTGACTGAGCATTTATAATTAATACAAGCCTTAATTTGTTTTTTAGGAGCTGCTGGCGGGACAGAAACTTCTGTGTACACTACAGTACCAGATGGGACTCAGTAACAGCAAGTTGAGAGAGAAATGTTACAACTGTAAACATAAACATTGAAAAGGAAAGAAGGTCACAAATCAGTCACTACTTGTAAACTGCAACTAACCAGAAAAGATAAACCTAAAGCTTGAAGAAGCATAAAAAATTACAAGAACTGGTCCTAAAGGAGAGAATGGGAAAAGGAAAAAAAAATCTTTAAAAGATGGTTCTTTGAAAAAAATGAACAAAATTAACAGACTTTTACCTAAACCACCTGAGGAAATTAAAGGATTCAAATTGCTGAAAGGGGAAATTACTAGAGATTGAACAAGAATAAAAGTAATCTTTAAAAATGCTACAGGGACTGGAGAGATGGCTCTGTGGTTAAGAGCACATACTGCTCTTGAAGAAGACTCAAGTTTGGGCACCCGCAGCCATGTCAGGAAACCCAGCATCGCCTGTATTTCCAGCTCCAAGGTATCTTATACTCTTTTATGAACTCTGAAGACACTGTACTCACACAAGTATACATCTATCTATACATAGACATAATATTAGTTAAAAATGAAATGATGCAAATACATGAAATATTCTATGTTTTACCCCAAACTAAGGAAAGACTCACCAATACATATACAACAAACACAAAGAACCAAAGTAGACAAGACCAGAATAGAAAATATACATAACAAAAAATGTATTAAGAACTACAAGGAAAAAAACCTCAAGTCACATATAAAGAATAACGAATCATCAGAATAACAGCTGATTTCTCATGGAAATTTTTAAATACAGAAGAACCTGAAGCAATTGATTCCAAATGCTAATAGACTATGCTAGCCAGATTAGATTAATATACCCAACAAAACTATCTGTCATAATAGAAAGAGAAGGAAAAAATTTCCATGATATAAACAGCCTAAATTTTTTATAACCAACAAATCAGCCCTAAAGAAAACATAGTAAGCAATATTTTTAACTGAAGAGAATAAAGAACATATCAGAGAGACTGTGGAAAGAAATATGAAGTCATAATTATTACAACATAAAGTATCACTGAGAATACAACACCAAAAATAAATAACACAAGGGCCTCAATTAACACATACATTTCAATAATATCAATGGTCTCAATTCTCCAATCAAAAGATATAGGTTGACTGAATGGGTCAAAAAATAAAATCCATCTTTCTGTTGTCTAAAAGAAATACTTCTTAGCTTTAAAGATAGGCACTGCCTTATTGTAAAAAAAAAAATGGTCAAAAAGGGCTCCAATAAAATGGAATCAGGAAGCAGGCATGAGTCACTATCCTAATGTCTGACAAAATATACTTCAAACTGAAACTTATCAAAAGAGATAAAGAGGAACACTTCATTCTAACCAAGGAAACAGTTAACAAAGAAGATATTATTACTACCCTAAACATACATACAACAAACTCTGCTACATCCAATTTCACAAAAAAAAAAAACGAACTACTGTATTAAAAGACATTAATTAATAGTAATCCATTAATAGTGGGTGATTTCAATACCCCACTTTTTTCAATAAACATGTCATCTGAACAAAAAATAGAGAAATACCAGAATAAGTTGACATCATACATCAAATAGACTTAACAGATGTCTACAAAGTCTTTCACTTAAATACCATAAATTTACATTCTATTTAGCAGCACAAAGAAGCTTTTCTAATACGGGACACATCTTTTTTTTTTTTTTTTTAACCGATTAAGTCAATTTATTAGAACAGTTGACTTAGGCATCTGCAATGGTGACTTCAACCTCCACGCCCGGCTCAATACTGATGGACGTAATCTGCTTAACTATCTCGGAGGGGCTGTGCAAGTCAATGAGGCGCTTGTGGATTCTCATTTGGAAACTATCCCACGTCTTGGAGCCTTCACCACAAGGTGTTTTTCTTGTAGTGATCCTCAGGGTCTTGGTGGGCATGCGCACCGGCCCCTTCACTTTCAGGTTCTTCTCCTTGGCGCCTCTGATCAGGTCAGCACACACCTTCTCCAGCGACTTCACGTTGCGGCTGGTGAGCGTGATCCGGATGCGATGGATCGCCACCTCGGGCTCCACGGGCGTCTTCCCGGTGTCTTTGAAAGCCATAACTGCGGCGCGGGCTTCCTGACAGACTTGTTCCTCGGCGGGAGCGAACAGCGGTGAGTCGGGACGGGAGCAGGCCGAGCAGAGCTCCGCGGCGAGCACTACCACGCCTCAGAAAGCTACGGGACACATCTTGAGACACAAAACAAATCTTTACAAATTCAACAAGATTAAATAAGACAAAATCGACAGCAAAAAAAAAAAAAATAAAACCTAGTGAATATACAAAATCATGGAGATTACCCATTACTGAATGATGAATGGGTCAAATAAAGAATAAGGAAAGAAATTTTAAATGTTTCCTAGAACTAAATGAAAATGGAAACACAACACAATAAAACCTCTGAGAGAGACTGAAAGCAGTGCTAAGGGGAGATGTATAGCTCTCAGTGCCCACATTTTATAAATCGGAAAGAGCACAAATAAATTGCCTAATGATGCAACTCAAAAAGTTGGAAAAACAAGAACAAACCAAATCTAAACTCAGTCAATGGCAAGAAATAGTGAAATCAGATGGAAATCAATAGAATAGAAACAATGAAGATAATACAAAGAATCAATGAATCTAAGAGCTGATTAAGAAAATAAGATGGGCAAACCCTTGGCCCAACAAACGGAAAGAAACAGGGGAGGAAGGGACGGAGGGAGGAAGAAAAAGAGAAAAGAAAAAGCCCAAATTAAGAGACTCACAAATTAAGAAAAAAAATATTACAACAGACACAAAAGAGATTTAGAATATTATAAGGTATTTTTTTAAACTATACTCTATTTAGCTGGAAAGCCTAAAAGAAAAAGATGAATATCTAGGATCAGTCAAAACCAGGAAGGCAAAAACCTAAACAGACAGACCCATAACAGATGAAGAGATTGAAACAGTAATAAAAAGCCTTCTAGCTTAAGAAAAAGCATTCCAGAGCCAGATATATCCACAATAGAATTCTCCCAGACTTTCAAAGAATACTACACTAAATCCTTCTTAAATTATCCAAAAAATAACAAAATATAGACACAGAAGGATCACTCACAAGCTCCTCTTCAAAGCCCAGTGCCAGTCATATATCAAAACTAGGCAAAGACATAACAAAATAAAAAGAAAACAACAGGCCAATATCCCTGATGGAAATAGCCAAAAATGTTCAATAGAACACTTGCAAGCAAAATACAGACATATGTTGAAAAGATTGCCCATCATGACCAAGTTGGATTTACCCCTAAAATGCAAGCATGGTTCAATATACTTAAGTCAATGAATGTAATAAAAAAAATTAAAGACAAAAGCACACAATCATCTCAATAGATACAGAAAAAGTCTTTGATAAAATCCAACAGCCTTTGTGATAAAGCTTATAGAGAATGTAAGCGCATGCCACAACATAAAATCTACATATGAAAAACCCACAGCCAACATTATCCTAAATGAAGAAAAGCTTTAAACAATACCACTAAAGTAAAGAACCAGACAGGGATGATGCCCACTCACTTTCAATGTTGTGCTCCAAACAGAAACTGGAACAATAATTCATTTGCAGATGATATTATACTATACAGTAGTATACATAAATACTACCAGAAAAATTTCTAGCAATGATCAATTCAACAGTGTGGCAAATTACAGAATCAACTTGTACAGGTCAATAGCTTCCCTACACACCAACACGAAACATACAGAGAAACAGCTCAGGGGCATACTCCCATTCACAACAGCCTCAAAGAAAAAAATCTAGGAATAAGCCTAACCAAGAAAGTGAAGGACCTCAGCCATGAAAATGTTAAACCTCTGAAGAAAAACAGAGGACACTAAAAAATGCAAAAGAATCCCAAGTTCATGGTTTGGTAGAATTAATATTTTGAAAATCAACATTTTACCAAAAGCTACTCACAGACCCAATGTAATCCCAATCAAAACATCCATCTCGTTCTTTGCAGAAATAGAAAACCCTATACTAAACTTTATAAGAAACCACTAAAGAACCTGGATAGCCAAAACAGTCCTGAACAAGAACAATGCTGGAGGGACCACCATTCCAGATCTTAAGCTATATTACCGAGCCATGGTAAGAAAAACAGTGTGGTACTGGCAGTAAAATAGACATGTAGATAAATGGAAAAAAATTAAGACCCAAATAAGAATATGCATAGCTTTGGCCACTAATATTTGACAAAAATGCCAAAACATAAGCAAAATAAAATAAAGTGCCTTCATCAAACAGTATTTAAAAAACTGGATGTCCACATACAGAAGAACGGCACTAGCCCCATGTATATCGCTTTGCACACACACACACAAAAAAACTAACACCAAGTGTATCAGAGACCATTAAATCATAAAACCTGAAACATTGATTCTATTAGAAGAAAACATAGTCAGCACCCTACATGGTGGAGGTGTAGGAAAGGACTTTATAATTAGGACTCCATTTTCCCCAAAATTAAGGCCAACAATTGACGAGAGACTTCATAAAACTAAAATTGCACAGCTAAAAAGAATCAGCAAATGAAGAGGAAGCCCACAGAATGGGAAAGAATCTTTGCCAGCTATGTATCTTAAAGAGGATTAATATCCATACTATATAAAGAACTCAAAAACTACAGACCCAAAAAACAAAATAGTGACCCATTAAAAAAAAATGGGCCTGGGCCTGAACAAAACAAAGAAAAAATAATAAATATCTCAAAAAAGTCCATCTTCCCCAGTAAAGAGGAAAATGCAAATAAAACCAACTTTGAGATTTCATTTACCCCAGTCAAAATTGCAAAGATCAACCAAGGAGGCACCAATAAATACTGGAGAGGGTGTGGGAGAAAGGGAATTCTCATTTGCTGTTGGCGGGACTTCAAACTAGTGCACTCCTTATAGAAATCAGCGTGGAAAAATCTCAGAATGCTAAAATTAAATCTACCATATGACCCAGCTATACCACTCTTTGGCATACACCTAAAGAACTCAGCATCTTGATCAGCCACGTTTACTGCTGTTCTGTTTACAACAGCTAGGAAATAGAAGCCACCTAAATATCCTTAAAACTGACAAATGGATAACAAAACCGTGGTGCATGTGTACCGCATTACATGGAGTACTAGTCAGCTGTAAGAAAAAGTGAAACCATGAACTTTGCAGGTCCATGAATGGAACTAGAAAAGGTCTTACTGAGTGCGGTAACCCAGACCCAGACAGACAAACATTGTGTGTTCACTTTCACTGGAAGTGCTGACCTTCCAGTCTTCAGATATAAGTACATATCCTGGAGTAACTGTAGAAATCAGGGGAGTAAAAATGGACTATTGTCATCATGGGCGGAAAGGGAAACAACAGAGAGAGAAATAGCAGGGTGCAAATGATCTGGTTGGGTAAATGAGGCTCCCATTAGGGATAAAGGAGAGAGATAAATATCAAAGAGGAGAGGAGAGTAAAATAGCAGCAAAGGTGTCAGAAAAAGTCATAAGAAAACATACTATTTCCTGCATACCTAAAAACCTGTAGAACACAAAAGTCTGTGTGTGGATAAACATATAGTTTAAACGGAATTTTCTCATCTGGGATGACAATGCTTCTTCCAAGAACCAAAGACAATCGATCTAACAAAAATGCCAAGACCATACATGAGAAGTTGTAAGTCTGGTTGTCCAATAGACTATCAAAACACTGCCGGCTACTGATATGCCTTCAGCTGGCCCCAGAGCTAGGAAGTTAAGTATTAATGAAGACATCACGCGCTTTAGACAGAGGGCATACAGGACCCTGAGCTGGAACACCTGAATGCATCCTCCTTGAGGACTAGTTTCCATGGTACGAGGAGGCACCATGAAAGCGTCTATGAAGGGGAAGCAACCAACAGTAATGCCTAGATTTAATGCCTAGGAGCCATAACAAGGACCAGCACGGCACAATAACTCTTATGTGGAATTAAAGGCATTCATACCTTGGTGGTAACCAATAACTCCATAATTGGACTTAAGATCTATTCAACAAGGGGAAAACCATGCCTGGTATCGGAAACTTAGTCAACTAGACCGGGTTAGTAAAGTCACAGATCTTGGAAAAGAACCTGTGACTACCACTTTACTAAACCAGAATAATTCCTAACTACATTCTAAATTTTTGTACTTGTGGTGGTTTGAATAAGAATGGTTCCCATAGGTTCATATATCTGAATGCTTAACCATCAAGGAGTGCCACCACTTGAGGATTAGGGGTATTGATTTCTTCTAGTAGGTGTGGCCTTATTGGAGGATGTATGCCACTGGGGGTGGGCTTTGATGTTTCAAAAGCCCAAGCTAGACTGATAAACTGACTCTCTCTCTCTCTCTCTCTCTCTCTCTCTCTCTCTCTCTCTCTCTCTCTCCCCTGCCTGTGGATTCAAATGTGGGACGGTAAGCTCCTCCTCCAGCACCACATCTACCTACATGATGACAATGAACTATAACCCCTGAAACTGTAAGCCAGCCCCAATTAAATGCTTTTATTTATAAAAGTTGCCATGGTCACGGTGTCTCTTCACAGCACTAAGACAGTCCTTACGCCCACAGGTAAGTGTAATCTTCATCCCTCATCAGGGAAACTTGTCTTGGCCACATACAGAGACCATTACAGAAAACCACAACCGATCAAGCTTCAGCGTTCTGGAGCCCAGTCCCAATGCATACATCTAGAAAACAATTCCTGCACAAAAGCTCAGGGAATGTTGCAGAAGAGAAGGAAGGAAAACTGTAAGTGCCTGAGGATCAAGGAGTTTGCTGTGAGGCCGTGTCCCCTCATAGTATCAGAAGCTATACCTGTAACGTCTCACTGACATTACTGTCTACACATGAACTGAACAATGACAACACAAGATAGGCCAAAGCCGACAATGGAAAGATCACTGGTCCTGTACAAAGAACTGTGAGTAATTAAGGAATGCTTGGAGAAATATTCTTCTCCAGGGAAGAACACACCAACTGGTTATCCAATACCAAGTGGTTAGCCCTGACATACAGGTAACATTATACAGACTGAGCAGGTTATATTTAAGAATATACATGCCTGTAACAACCATCAGTGGAAAAAGAGACAATGAATGTCAGAGAGCAAGGAGGTGTGTATGGAAGGGTGTGGGAGAGTAAAAGGAAGGGGAAATGATGTAATTA